CACTGTCTACGGTGGGGGAGAAGAGTTCAGTCCCCGGGCAGAGATGATGGAGCTCAATGACCGCTTTGCCAGCTACATCGAGAAGGTGCGCTTCCTGGAACAGCAGAACAAGGCACTGGCTGCTGAGCTGAACCAGCTGCGTGCCAAGGAGCCCACCAAGCTGGCTGACGTCTACCAGGCTGAGCTGCGTGAGCTGCGGCTGCGGCTTGATCAACTCACCGCCAGCAACGCCCGGCTGGAGGTCGAGAGGGATAATCTGGCACAGGAACTGGGCACCCTGAGGCAGAAGTGAGGAGAGGGGTAGGGGAGAGGGGCCTCATGATCAGGGAGGACTGAGCCCCCAAGAGGAGGTGCCTGCAGGCCTGCAGGGCCTGGGGGGGGGGTGTTCTGCCTCCCTGTTGCCTGGTTTCTTTCTGCTCCTCTGGGAGGGGTGGACTATCCTTGCACTCCAAGATAATGGACAGGGACTGGAAGAAGGCCCAGAGCCTCAGGAATCTTATTTCCAAAGACCTTCTGCCAGGAAGCGGGGTACTCTCAGCACCTCCACACTAAGGAACACTGTGCAGGAGTAGCCAGGGACCCCAGCAGGTGGGGTCTGTGCCTTTCATTCACTGTGGGGCACTGTGACTGGGCGGGAAGCTCACCTATTCTGAGCCATGTATAAAGGAGGAATTGGAAGGGAAGGTTGGTGTGCATTAGGAAGACTGAGCTCTGGGGTAAAGGGAGTGGGGGAGAGAGCAGGCAGGTCTGGCTTCAGAACACAGGTGACTGCGGTCACCAGCATATGATCCTGGCCAAGGCACTTCAGCATGCACAGCTGTGAAGCAGCAATCTTAATAAAATCCATTTCCAAAGGCCAGAGGAAACCCCAGGGGGATGGTGTTTTGCTGAGCTGGCCCAGCCTGCATTTGTGCCCTCGAGTGTAGGAAGACGTGTGTGTTTGTGCGTGCAGCAGTGAGAGCACGTTGGTGGAAGCGCCTGTGTGAGCAGGAGCAGGTGCAGCAACCCTGATAAGGCCCTTTGTAATGAGTTAAAACAAAGGCCCTCGTCTGCTCATCCTCCTGGCCAAGACTCTATCCAAGACCCCCCTTGCTCCTCACTCCTCCTGCCACTCCACTAGTCCTGGGGGTCTCTCTGGCAGCCACCTCCAGGGAGATTGGGGTAGGGGTCATCCAAGAGTCTTCAGAAGAGTCTTAACCCAGGAATGTGTCCCCCTACCCCAGACTCCAGGATGAAACCAACCTGAGGCTGGAGGCTGAGAACAACCTAGCTGCCTATCGACAGGTCAGGAGGGTAGAAGGGTGGGGCACGGGAGGGGGGAATGGTTGATGGCAGCCCACCCAAACACAGCCCTCAAGGCCAACCATCCTGAGCAATGCGCTACTCTTCCAGCCCCAGAAGGGGGGATCAGACAAGTCTAGGGAGTGGGGAGGAGGAATCTGGGGTCAGAGTGGCCCTTTGTCTCCTCCCTATTCCAGGAGGCAGATGAAGCCACCCTGGCCCGTCTGGATCTGGAGAGAAAGGTTGAGTCTCTGGAGGAGGAAATCCAGTTCTTGAGGAAGATTCATGAGGAGGTAAGGCTGGGGCAGAGGGATGAAAGGCCAACACAGAGATAAAACTGAGAGAGAGAGAGAGAGAGAGAGAGAGAGAGAATGACTCAAAGATACACAGAGACACTCAGAGACAGAAAGGAACAAAGACTGACAGAGAGAAAGAGAGAGATTGAATACAGGGAGAAAAAGAGATGCAGAGACTGAGGGAGACAGAGACAGAGACAGACAAGAGAACATCAACAGCTCCTGGTAAAATGCACATGGGGACACACTCCACTTACTGAGAATTACACAAGGGCCTGTTGCCTCATTTTTTTCTTCACTACAGCTTTGTGAGATAGGAACCCTTCCAGTATTACCTCTTTTTCACAGAGAAGGAGACTGAAGCTCAGAGAGGTTAAAGAACTTGCTAAGGTCACACAGGTAGTCTCTCTGACTCCACTCCCTCTGCCATCTGTCTCCATTTAACCGAGAACCATTCATAACAAAAAAGATCCCACGGAGCTCTAACCTCAGGTCAGAGACTCACCTCCATGACCCCATGGAGCCTGGGAACCCACAGGCACACCCACCCCCAGGGACTCAGTCACTCTCTCATGAGGACACAGGCACACTTTCAGTGCGCCTGCCTGTCCAGGTCTGGGAAGAGGGCAATGAGGCCCCCAAACTAGCCCCTGCCTCCCCTAGCCTGGACTAGCCTCCCATGCACTTTCTCCAGCTAGGACTGTCCCATTTTCCTTAGTCAACGTCCGAGGGACAGGCAGAAGAGGACATGATGCTGTGGAGAAACCCCAATTGCACCCTGGGCCCTGAGCCCTGCTATCCCTTCTCTTCCCCGGGCCAGGAGTTGCGGGAGCTCCAGGAGCAGCTGGCTCGGCAGCAGGTCCACGTGGAGCTGGATGTGGCCAAGCCGGATCTCACAGCAGCCCTGAGAGAGATCCGCACACAGTACGAGGCAGTGGCATCCAGCAACATGCACGAGGCGGAGGAGTGGTATCGGTCCAAGGTAGCCCTGACTGTGAGCCAGCCTGCCTCCTCCAGGCAGCCTTCCTGGCTCCATGCAAGAGAATTGGGGAAGGAGGCTAGAGGAAGCTGGGAGAGGATCCCCTCTGGTGACTGACCTTCACCAGAGAAGTGAGGTGACTCGCCCGGGGTCACATAGGCACTATTACTTCCAATAAATACTGATTATTATGGCCACTATTACTTTTCATAATAATAAATACTAGTAATAGTTGTTATTATAACTAGTTGCTACTAAACATTGTTGTATACCAGGCCCTGTGCTTTGAATGGATTATCTTACTATGAAGTAGGTACTGTTCTTTGACAGATGAGAGAACTAAAGTCCAGAAAGGTTAACTAGTTTGCCCAAAGTCACACAGCTCCTAAGCATTAAAACTAGATTTCCAACCCTCACCATTCACTTGGAAGCCTGCCTTCTTGATGTCTCTGCCGTCTGTGTCCTGGGTTATTGATCATCTACTGCATGCCAGGCACTGGAGAGGCTACAGAGATATGTCTGAGCAGGGAAATGTACTGTGCACCACATATGGTGTCTGTAGAGAACACTGCAGGGCAGAGTCTATATGCAATGTGGGGACCAGGGAAGACACCATAGAAGGGAGGGCATTTGGCCTAAGCAAGACTGGCCGGTTATGGACACGAAGAGAAGAGGGAAGGGGCATGCTGAGCCCAGGACAGAGCCTGTGTGGACGCCTAGAGGCAGAAAAGCACAGAGAGGTGGGGGCCCAGAGACGCTGGCCCAGGGCACCGAGCTGAGCAGTGTGAGTGGCAGAAGCTAGTGATGGTTCTGAGCAGATTAGGCCTGATGGAGCCTTGAGGAATTCACTGCAAGCTGGGGGAGGGAGGGCTATTAGAACCCAGGTATCTGCTCATCAGAACCCACTGTCTACGGTGGGGGAGAAGAGTTCAGTCCCTAGATGTAGCTGCCAGTGCAGGAGATTTTGGGTTCTGTGGCAAACATTGTTTATTCATTCATTCCCTGACGACGCACTGTGCTCGGTGCTGGAGATGGCTTCTGTGTCCCCTGTCCGTGGGTCACAGTTGCTGGGAATAATCCCTCTTAGGACCAATGACCTGGGGTAACCTGGACAACCCCAGGGTCCTGCCCACCTCCCTGACTTCCCAGAGACCATGTTTCTCACAGGCCCACAAAGCACCCCATGTGAGGTCGCAGCCTGCACCTCGCATTGGATCCTTTCCCCATCTAGTTTGCGGACCTGACAGATGCCGCTGCCCGCAACGCGGAGCTGCTCCGTCAGGCCAAGCACGAAGCAAACGACTACCGGCGCCAGCTGCAGGCCTTGACCTGCGACCTGGAGTCCTTGCGTGGCACGGTGAGCGGGGGCAGGACCAGAGGGGGGTGGACGAGGGCAGGGCAGCAAGCTGAGACTGGGGAGCCGGAGGAGGGGACCTGCAACCCTAGGGGATGCTGGAGAAGACGGCCCGGATTGGGACCAGGCCTGGGGGCGGGGCCTCGAAGCCCTCCGGAGTTGGTCCGGTCCCAGGGCAAGACGATGCCTCGCCTCGAGGGACCGGCTGGCTCCACCCCACAGAACGAGTCCCTGGAGAGGCAGATGAGGGAGCAGGAGGAGCGCCACGCACGCGAGGCAGCCAGTTACCAGGAGGCGCTGGCCCGGCTGGAAGAGGAGGGGCAGAGCCTCAAGGACGAGATGGCCCGCCACCTGCAGGAGTATCAGGACCTGCTCAACATCAAGCTGGCCCTGGACATTGAGATCGCCACCTACAGGAAGCTGCTGGAGGGCGAGGAGAACCGGTGAGCACTGACCACAGCCCTAGGGATCCGTCCTTCTGCTCTTCCCTAGAGTTCCTTGCTTCCTTCCGGGACTGTCTTCTTCAGCCTTGTGTCCAGCCCCCTCCTACCCCAGTGCTCAGCACAGTGCTCCCCTAACACACAGTAGGTAGTCAATAAATGTTTGATGAATGAATGGATTCGATTCAACCAATGTTGATTAGGTCCCAGGGAAAGGACTTGGGTCACCCCCATAAACTAAAAGGCTCACCCCCCTTCCCCATCCTCCAACCAAACATTGGACTTCTTTTCCCCTGACCTACCTTTCCTACTTCCTCGGAACTTTCTTTGCCATTCTTCCCTCCAAGCCCCCACTCCCCATCAAATGCAGATGTTCACAGATGACACCCAAGCCCCTTGCAGACTCTTGGAGCTCCGGGGAACGTGATGGCTGCTGGGGAAGCTAGGCAGTGCAGCTGTCGAGGCTGCCATGATAACCCTGAACCGGGACCTGGCTGGGATGTCCTCGGGCCGCCTGGTCACTCTTCTCCCTCTGCTGTCTTTCAGCATCACCATCCCTGTGCAGACCTTCTCCAACCTGCAGATCCGAGGTCAGTAGAGCAGGACCATGTGGCCAGGGTATGGGATTCCTGCCCCCTCCCCCAGGCCTGTGGGCCGCTGCTCTGGCCTGGGGCCGAGGACCTGGGCAAAGGGGTCCAGGGCTCTCCTTGAGGCCCTTCATGGTTCACCGCAGAGCTTCTAGCCAGAACACACCATCCCAGGGCATTCCATGTGGGGCTCGCAGCCTCTCTTGCCCTGCTCCCCATCCCTGTACCCCATTCCACCACAGAACTGGGTAAGGGTCTCAACCTCTGTCCTGTCTGCAGATCCCTGAGCAAGCTCTGCCCATCTGAGTGTTTTATGTTTTTGTGTTTTTAAACTGCTTGTCACTACAGGGGGCAAAGACACCAAAGAAGGGGAAGGCCACAAGGTCACAAGACATCTCAAAAGCCTCACAGTACAAGTTATACCAATTCAGGCTCACCAGATTGTAAATGGAGCCCCGCCGGCTCTCGGTTAGCTGCCCGCCTCAGAGATGGTGCTCTTCTCCGCTTGGCAGGGAGGGGGCCTCACCAAGCCCGTTTCCCTGTCCTCTTGGGCTCCCACCTCCCAGGTTTCCCCAAAGGGCCAGGCTGTGTCATCTTCCCAGAAGCCTCGGTGCTCAGCCCAGAACCTGGCACAGGGCAAATGTAGGTTAAACCAACAGAGGTGGCCGTGGTTCAAGCTGATGTGTCCTTCGGTGCTCAGATGAGATGCTCTGGGGCCTCTGAGCAAACGCCAGCCTCTGCCTCACCTCTTTCCATCACTGGGGGAACCCCTAGGGTTCCACTGTGCCGGGCTCTCTGCTTGTTTCGTCTGTCCCTGAGGTTTCGTTGCTCAGCTCGGTGCTGATTCAGCCCAGAGAATTATTTCCCCCTGGACTGTGCTCTTGTAGTGAATAAAGTTTTATGTTCCCTGTTCTTAATTTTAAATATTAGTGAGTGTGACATGTTATAGTTTTCTCTCTGAGGGGGAGAGAAACTAAATTACTTCTTACTTGTATGTGGCCTTCAAGTGATTCTCAGCTATGGAAAACTCTTCTAGGCCAGAAATTTAGGAACACTAGATATGCATGTCCCAGGGCTCAGTTCAGCATCAGAAGGGCTTACCAGGTGGACCAGCTAGAGGTAACACTGCCAGTAAAGGGTCATTAGGGCCCAGAGAAGTGGCAGGAAGAAGTAGGAAAGGAGAAGGGGGACAGGAAAGGGACCTACATGTACTGAGCACTAGTGTGTGTCAGTCGCTTAACATACATTATTTCAGTTAACTGACTCCTCACTCCCACCTAAAGAAGTGAGCACCATCATTCCATTTAGCAGATGAGGAAACTGAGGCTGAGAGAAGTAAATTTACTTGCCCATAGTCGTGTGGCTGGTTAGTGGCTGAGCTGGGACTTGAGCTCTGGCCTACCTGATTTCAAAGCCCACGTGCTCCTTCCTCTGCTCAGTGCTGGGTTGTCGGAAAGCCAAGTGCCAGGAGAGGGCTTGCACAGGGGCTGAAATGCAGCCAGGCCAGGAGAGCGAGCAGGGCAGTAGACACAGCAGCCAGGACTTGCCCAACACAGTGGGGACTTCGGGAGCAGGGGGGTTGCCAGCCCCTTTGGAAGAGCCTAGGCCCTCCATGCCTGGTTGGGTAGACTTTCATACTCACGACTGGGGGGTGATGACGGGAAGCCTGGGGTGGCAAACGATGTCTAGTGCTTTTGTATGCATGAGTGGGGTGTGATAGGAAGCCTGGGGTGGGAGAGGATGTGTGGTGCCTCGAGAGCCCACGGGAGGCCTCCTGTCTCCTCACACCACAGAAACTAGCCTGGACACCAAGTCCGTGTCAGAAGGCCACCTCAAGAGGAACATCGTGGTGAAGACTGTGGAGATGCGGGATGGAGAGGTGAGGAGAGCAGACCTGAGATTCTGGCCCCGTCAGGCTCTGGCTGCCTCCAGGAATTCTTGAGGCCTGGCTTTGGAAGAAAGCCGAGATTGGCACATAGAATGTTCTTGATAACTCACAAGAGCTCCCCAGGGAGGCTCTGGAAGAGGGGAAGGAACCTGGACATAATTTAATGCTCCAGCCCCTCCACTGGCAGTTCTAAGGGGAACCTGGGGGCCTAGGCCACTGGATGGGGTCCTGACTCAGGCATTCTCCCTTTCTCACCCTGACTCAGGTGCCCCCAATGCCGGGCCTGGGAGAAAAAGAAAGAAAATTAAAGTTAGCAGTTTTCACTCCCAACTTTCTGTTTCCAGCTTGGTTAAAGGAACCTGCCAGAGGAATGGAAAAAGGGAATTTGGCATAACCGTGCTCCACCCGCCCACCCCCACAACAGTACTGCCTAATTTTACACCATCGGCTCACCCTGTGCCGGGCATGGTGCTGAGTGATTTACAGGTGTGATCTCATTTCCCCCTCTGACTGCTGCATGAGGGAGCTCTGGTTACTCTCATAGAAAAGAAAGACCCAGGAAGGCTGGAGACTTGCCCGAGGTCACAGAGACTAGCAGTGGTGGACCTGGGGTCTGTGTGAGCTCCTAACCCTGGCACTGTGCACCTTCTCTGTCCCTTACAGGTCATTAAGGAGTCCAAGCAGGAGCACAAGGACGTGATGTGAGGCAGGACCCACTTCATGGCCCCTGCCCCATAGCGGGAGAAGCCTGCAGCAGGAGACAGGATAGTTGCCCCTCCTCTGACAGCGCATTTTCCCAGACCTGAGTTCCTCTCCACCTCAGCTGCTCCCCTCCCTGCTCCGTCTCTATGCCAGCTTACTGCCCTAGGTTCCATCAGCATTAGGCCTGCCAGACAGCACCCACCCTGCTCCCAGTAACTTCAACTAACAGGGCACTCACCCCAAAGGGGCAGCCTGGAGGGGCATGGCCAGCAGCTTGAGTTAGAACTGGGAGGAGAGAAGCTGGGGAGGGCCTGGGACCTAATAAATCACCCTCCATAGCCTAGTCCCTGTTGTCATGGCAACTGTTGCCAGAGTTAGAGATCTCTGAGCTATCTGGGAAGTGGGCTTTTGAGTTTCCTCAGGCTGCTGAAGGAAGACCAAGACTCTGAGACAGGAAGGGGAAGTCCCTGCAGGCAAGGTAGCCCTCATCAGAGGCTCCTTCTAGAGCAGCGGTTCTCAACCTTTCACAGGGGTCGCCTAAGACCATCGGAAAACACATATTTTCGATGGTTTTAGGAACCGAGACACCGCTCCTCTATCCGTCTCCAGGCCCACATGCAGATACGCCCACATACGAGGACCCGGCGACCCCTGTGAAAGGGTCATTCGACCCCCAAAGGGGTCGCGACCCACAGGTTGAGAACCGCTGTTCTAGATGGACCCTGGCCAGCCGGAGAGTAGGCGGGGGTATCCTGCCACCGGACAGGATTGTCAGCGGACAGAAATCCTGGCCTGCCCAGATTCCAGAGGGGCCTTATGAGTGATGGCTCAATGTCTTAGGCCCACTGAGCTGCCATGTGGACATGCTGTGGGCAAGTGGGGGCTCGATTCCCAGCACTTAGGGGATCTTAGTGTAAGTGGAGAGGGAAATGGTGCTGGGAGGGAGTAGAGGGGGCTGCCTGGCCCCTAGGTGTCAGTACAGAGAGGTCAAGCCCAGGAGGACCTCCCCCCCATATAGGCTGGTGGGGGGCAGATAGCGATTGTGGAGGAGGCAGTGGGATGATGCTACGTATCAGGGCTGGGGGTGTGGGTGACCAGGTACACTTGGCCTCTGGGTCGCGGGAATCAAGGAAGTGACTCATCCTTTGAAGATACTGAAACAGGAGAGAAAGGGGCTACAGTCCACAGGGGTAGGGCACACTTTGCCCCAGTTCTAAAGGTTCCTTCTTTGCTGCATAATTCCTGTCGCCTTAGGCCTCCAAGCCCATGCAGCTGCTGCCTCTCAACTCCAGCAAATACTGCTGGGTGAAGCCACCGCAAAATAGCTGACCCTTTCCACCCCACAGTGACCTGCTGCTTTTCCCTAAGCCAAGGGCCCCTTCTACTCAAATACAAAATGTACCCCAGTATTTTAGGTAGTACCCTATTTTATAATTCGGGAAATTGAGGCATGAGCAGAGAGAAGACCTTGGTTTGTGTTCCTCAGGCCTGGAGGCAAGGCAGCTGGGGACAGACACTTTCACCCAGGGCATCTGCTTTGCTTTCTATGGGAAGACTGTGGGGGGCACAGGATTATCTGTGCCCAGAAATGGAACTGAGAGGACCCACTCCAGGGTCCCCCTCGCCCCTTTAAGGCCAAAGGGAGGGAGGCTTTCCAAGACTTGGTGCCCTTTCCCCGACTTCCTCCTGCCACCCACTGCTGCTAACCTTCAGGGCATCATTGCCACCTGTAGTCACTGAGGTAAATAAAGCCAACTGCTGTGGCTTCCCCCAGAGTGGGCTCTGATCTCTTCAGGGGAGGCTGGGGCTCGGGGAAGGGGGCAGCAAGTAGCCTTGGACAAGACCCAACTTGCTGATATCACTGATCATCTCGGGAGCCCAAACCACCACAGGAGCAGCCACATGACCAATCCCACCTCCAACCCTGCTCTGCCACAGCCGCCCTGGTCCCCCCACCCCACCCCAGCTTTGCTCCAGCCCCTCTTCTAATGCCCAGCCCCCAGCCTGGGAGCAGTCTCTCAGGAAAGCCCTGAATTTGACCTCTATTTTCTTCACCCATTTCCCCTGTTCTGCTCTTTATCTTTGTTCCCAAACCCGCTATTTCTGCTGGCCGCCAGTCCCAGGACTGGGCTGGGGAGGAAGGCGGAGAGGACATATGTGAGCCCCGCCCCATTTTTTTCTTCCTTCCTTTCCCTGCTACCCCCAATTCAACCAGCACGCACTTGGCAATCCTCGAAGGCAAGAACATAAACCACACCTCAAACACTGTTCAACACCAATTAGGCCATTTGATAAATATCAGGCTCCCATCTTCCTTCTCTGATCTGATTGTGAAGTCAGAGGACATGCGGACCTGGGCTACCTCCATTCTGGCCTCAGTCCCCCACCTCCCCCCACCTGCCTCAGGCTTCCCCACTTCCCAGATCAGGTTCCGGATGTGCCCATGAAAACGGGGAGCAGGTTGTAACTAACACATTTGTCCGTACCCCCTTGCCACATGTCCCAGTCCAGGATGCCCACCCAGAGGCATCTGGTATCATTTAACAAGCACATTTGAGCACAGCTGGTCTTCAGAGCTGGGGAAGAAAGCACCTAGGGGGAGAAGTCGGGACAACAGCGCAATAAGTAACAGCAGCAACGACAGAGGTGAATGGTGGCAAAGACTGCCGTGATGAGCAGGTACCCTAGCAGGGTGAGCTCCACGGCAGAGCGAGTCTCGGGGTCTGAGAATGAGGCCTTGTAGCGCCCTCGAGATGTCACACCCAGTCGGAACCCGGCAACCCGCACCCCCTGCCGCCAGCAATAGTAGATGCCACGGTCGTCCAGCTGGGTGAAGCGGATGTGGAGATGGTTGCCGTGGTCGATGAACACCCTCATGGACCTGTTGACGCCCTTCAGGTACTGTGTGCGGTAGAGGTACTGGTGGTCCTTGTCCCAGGCCACAGCGTGTTCCGGCCGGGCCCCGGGACAGGAGATGATGAGTCCGTGGCCCAGCCTCTGCTGATGGAACTGAATGGGCACCTGGGGCACCCAGGGCCGGCTGCCCACTTTGGATACATAGTTGAAGATGGCCATCACACCCTCCCGGGTCATCGTCGTCTTCCTACAGGGCACCATGCAGCTCTGAACCAGCAGCTCGGGTGTGTGGTCCCTGGCCTTGGCCCGAAGCTTTCTAGGCACAGCCTGTGAACCGCAGGACACCACGTCCGGCAGTGTTTTGCGGTAGCGTGGAGAGAGGTCTGGGCTCTGCAGGTAGCAGAGGCCAATGCGCCACTGCTCCCCGCGCACCCCACAGCGGTCACAGGGGGTCCACTCCCAGAAGGTGGTGAAGACATGGAGGCTCCCATAGTAGTCGTCTGCAAAGGGTTCCTGGCCCTGGTCCTTGAAGGTGGCCACCATTACCTCACTGCTCTGGATGTCCACATCATAGGCATAGAAGTAGTCCCCCTTGCGGGTGCCACAGAAATACAAGCCTGAGTCCTCGGGCTGAGCCCGGAAAACCAATAGGCTGAACATGCGAATGCTGAAGCGGACCAGCATGTCACTGCCCACACGTACCTGGGCTGCCTCGGTCAGCACCCGCCCGTCAAAGTCCGTCAGCACTTTGGTGTGGCTGCTACCGAGATGCTTTTGATAGTACCAGACTACAGCAGACACTTCCTCGGGCTTGCAGTGGCAGGGCAGCTCGAAGCTCATGTCGGCCAGGTAGGCTGCATTGTCGAATATCAGAAAAGCCGGGCAAGGGGTCCTCTGAAAAATATTCTCCTTCTCCACAATTTCAAAGGCCTGGAGACCCCCCCACACCCACAGGAGCACGGTGGTGTGGGCGAGGTTCATGCGTGCAAGAGGGAAGGGTCAGAGCGGGTGGGGGAAAACCAAGGCGCTGAAGGCGTATGGGGCTTCTAGAATCACTGCCAGAGGAGGCATCTAGATGAGGACAGGATCAAGCTGCCAAGAAAAGCAACCATCTGCAGGGGAAGCAGCCAAAGGCAAGGCAATTGATTCCCAGCTAATGTACAAGATGCCCTTCTAATGTGACAGATGTGATCTCAAAGGAAAACCATTCTAGAACCTGGCCTTCTCTCTCCTTTCTAGAACACTGACACTCACCCAAGAATGGGTCAGGAGAAACCGGAATGAGAAGCAGGGCCCAGGGGCCAGACAGAAATCTCTGCCTCCCTGCTCCAGGCCCTGGCCTGCCTGCCTGGTGGAAAGGTCTTCTTTTTCGGTAATCCCCGAGTTGAAGGAAACCCACCCACCTGCACATCTGGCCATCTGAAGAAGCCTGGGAGGCTTGGCCAGACCTAAAGTGATGGCTTGGGGCTTTCCCAGACCCAGCATGCACAGGAACTCGGCCCCTGGGAAAAAATACTGCACCTCAGATGAAGTAATATTTGACCACGATCATTTGTCAATTAAATGTCAATTCATTGGTTTTGGGTTATAAACAGTCTTTTTTTATTATTATTATGAAATACACATTTTTTAGAATTAGTTTCAGCTTAAACAGTCTTGTTAAGAGCTATGGAGGCCAGTATTTATCACGGAAAATTAATGATTTTTCTTTTTTCTTTTTTTGGGTGGAGGCTTTAGCTGGTGTGACCAGTATTTGGTTGGGCACACACCCATCTCTCAGGGCTATGGGCCACGAGCTTGCCAGACTCTAAGGGTCGGAAGCAAAGCTCTTTTAACTTTTGGGCCCTTGACCATCTTGTGGACCTTCATAGTTCAGCATATTGAGCCACTGAGGGGCCGCAGAAAAGGGAAAGATTGAATTCTGGCTTTTACTCTGAAAATTCCAAGTTGACGAGGGAATTAGGTATGGGCTTCTTACTACAGTCCTGCAGAGCCCCAAGACAACAATAAAGAAATGCCTCCAGGGCCGGCCAAGTGGCGCATTGGTTAAGAGCTGGCTTGGGACGCCAGAGAGCCCCGGTTCGGATCCCACATATGAGGGCCAGTGACACTGCCCTCTACAGCTAAGATGCTGAACAGCAGCTCGACCTGGAGCTGGGCTGCCGTGAGTCGCCGTCGAGGCGTAGGCTGCAGCCACTGCTGCAGTGGGTTGCCATGGGCTACCGTGTGTAGCCAGCAGCCAGCGTGAGCGGCCAGCAGCAGCAGTGAGCGGCCGTCCAGAAGCCGTTGACTGATCTGCCTCGCCCGGGAAGAGCGCAATGATGGTGCCAACTTGGGCCAGTGAAGCAACGTCCTCCACAACTAGATTGAAGAACAAAAAGACAGCAACTTGTCTGTTCCCTTTTCCCCAATTCCCCAGCGCTGTTCCCATCCCCCAATTCCCCAATAAAAATCTTAAAAAAAAAATTCCTCCAGCGACCACTGGGGATCTGAAGGTAATTGGTCCTATCAATCCACCTGGTACAGCCCCAGCAGCTCTTGCAGGAGCTGCTCCTCCTCCTGGAGCCCACCAGGCTGCTCCTCCAGACCCCGCTCCTCCTGGCTGAGCCCCTCCTTCATGGATCTGGGGGCACCCATGGCTTGCAGCTTTTGAAACAAGCCTCTGCAGCTCTCTCTCTCCACGTGGCTCATCAGGCTCAGGTTCAGGGCGAAGCGCCCGGTGCCGGCCAGGCTGCGCAGGATCCCCAGCACCACCGACCGGTCGGCCAGCCTCACGTGATCAGCCAGAACCCCCAGCAGCTCCCCTAGAAGTCCAAACCCCACATCTGTCTGGAAGAGGTGTCCCAGCTTGGGGCCCCCAAGCTGTAGCAGGGCCTGGTAGCGCTCTGGCCCACTCCGCAAGTATCGCCGCCAATCACGGTAGAACTCTGCTGAGGTCTCAGGCTGCAGGAGTGTTTTCTCCTAGAGCACACAAAAGAAGGAAAGGGAATCCAGAGCTCTTCCAGCTGTCCTGCGACAGAGTGCGGAGAGCCTGTGGGTTTTCACCTTGGCTCTGGTAGTGCTCTCTGAGCACTGGGAAGGCTGTGGTCCCTGTGGGCCTCATTTCCAGAAGAGGGAAACCCGGGGTGGGACAGGGAGGGAGGGTCCCAAAGAAGTCAGGCCATGATTTGAGATTCTTAGTTGTACCAGGATTTTCCTACTGATGATTGTGAGAGTAAGTCAGGGTTTACTCTGAGCAGGGCCGAGGGGATCACTGAAAACCTCAGGAAGATCAGAACTCAAGGTGAGTGTTAAGGATCTGACAGGTTCGGTCTCCCTCCCAACACTGCCACAGGATCATTACACCTGTGGCATATACCATATAACTTGGAGCAACCCAAATCTGATCTGTGAATGCCAAGGACTGACTGAAGGGGAGGGGCCTGGCCACACCTTCTTGACTTGTTCTGCCCAATTCAATTCAACCCCACCATCCACTGGGTGCTTTTCTTTCTGGGATTGGAGGCAGAATCCTGCCTCTGTTAGCGTAACATGAGAAATAAGAAAAAGGCATGTGTTGTAAGAAGACAGGACTGGAGATTTAGGGCAGAGAATTCTGCTGGACCTCACCTACCCGGGAGATTTCAGTGGTTTCATCCAGGGAGGTCCTTCCCTGAGTAGTGTGACAGTTCCAGGGCACAGTCCTCTTTCCTCCTATCTTATCCTTCTGCTCCAGTGGCTTCAGATGTGATGCAAGGACAATACCCCTGTGGGCAAAGGACAGAGATTAGGGGATGGACCTAATGCTGTCTGTGGGTGTAAGGTGGCTGGACTTTGCATGACATAAGCTGAACCTGTTGGCAGGCCAATATGACAATAACAACAATAGCAACAATAGCTGATAGCTTTTGAGCACTTCCCATGTGCCAGACATTGTGCTCAGAAATCTTACATGTAATAACTTATTTAATCACAATAATAGTTATTTTCTTTTACAGATGAGACATAAAGGCTCAGAGAGGTTAAATAACTTGCATGAGATCACACAGGTAGCAGAGGGTAGGGCCAGGACTGAGCTCAGAATTGTCTGACACCAAAGTACATGCTCTTATCCACTAAAGTCCACCATAATAGGAGGGTCTGAAAAATGGCATTAAGCCAACCTGAATTCTTCATAGGAAGCCACCCTCTGTTCCACTGCCCGTAACTTGGCAGCATTCTCCCGTTTGTACTTCTCATCAGCAGTGAGCGCAGCCTGCAGCTCTTTCTCCAAAGCCTTGAAGTCGATGATGTCATTCCTTTCCATGGCCTGGGCCTGGGAAGGCAAAGGGAGTGGACATCAGTGGAGGATCAATATCAGGGGCAAGAGTGTGCATCTGGATTCTTTGCGAGCCCACAAAATGTCCAAAAAGCACATTTATGTGTGTGTGGGGGGGGTTACAAAAATCTGATTCTCTAGTGAGGGGAGCTGATTTACACACACAGTGAGAACTTACTTAAGACTTGTTGTCACTCGAAATAGAATAGAGTCCTGACTTTCAATTTGGAGCCCTGTGTTAATTTTGTCCTCTGCCTCTAAAAATATTTGATTATTGGTGTTTAGCTGAGGAAGCATTTGTATCTCAAAATTCAGCCCCTTCACTCTTCCACATGGGCTCACTCTAGAGCATTTGAAAGAAGACCTCGCACAAAAGCAGAACTATTGTTAGCTACTCTTGAGCCCAGAGATAAAATTTCATCCATAATTAAATGTCTTTAATGGGGAAGGATATTTTTCACCGAAGCCAGATGCAGTGACTGAGCAGGAAATGAAGTAGAAGCAGCAGGGGAAGGGGCTTAATGAGTCCTGTCCCCAAATCCCTCTATCCAGCCCAGGGCTGGATCACAGAACCCTAGATATTTTGGGCGACCTCTTTAGTTCTACCACTGTACTTCTGCAGTCTCCGCGTATTTGAGGCTGATTGACCCGTTCTATAGGGAGATCACCTGTATAGGTTCTAGTCTAGGCTCTGGCATTTACTTGTTGTGAGACCTCTTTGAACCTCAGACTCCTGGTGCATTGAGATAGATTTTGTAGTGGAGTCATCAACAGCCTTAGGACAGGGAACCGGGAGGTCTTCAATCAACCCCATAGTCCTCCTCCTCCTCCACCTCAACGTGGGTAAAAGTGAACACCAAGAAGGGGGCGGGGCTGGCCAGGAAACTAACTCAAGTGTCCGGCTTCTGTCCACTTCTGAGCCCTACCCAGTCACTGAATAAATACAACAAGTAAGCCTTCCGCCCCTCTGACCTTCACCCCAGCAGCCCTGGCTTTGGTTCCCTTGCTTTCCTTGGGGATCCCCAAATACGCCGGGAACAGGGCAGCTTAGCCTACCATACGCAGCAGCTGTGGTTGCCCAGCAACTGCTCCAACAGCCTGCCCACGTGATCACATGAAGGCCCTCCATTCAGGATGGTCCCGAGGCGCCTGATCAGATTCATGCCTCCTCAAGCCTCATTCAATTTGGAAAAGCTCACGCCTTGGTTTGAGGACCTCCACCTCCACTTTGCCAGTTCTGTGTCCGCGGCCGGCATTCCTCCGAGCTGGTCCTCAGGCAGAGGGCTGTCCTCCGCGGCAGAAACGCGACCGCGGCGTCTTCGGGGTCCTTCCGGACAGCGGGCTCAGGCAGTGTAGCCGTGTGAGGCGGAAGCGCGGTTTCTAGCGGCCTACGGGGAGCTTTTGGCTGAGCAGGCCGGAGGTAAGCTGGTGCGGGTCAACGGCGTGGGAAGGTTGCTCCGGGTGGGATGGGAAATTAAATAATGTCAGATCTCGAAGAGACGTTATACGCTCTCTGCCCCTTTCACTTCACAGATCGGTAAATTGAGGCGTGGAGCGGGAAAGGGGATGAAAGACACATTCTCCCCAACACACACACACAAATTCCGAGGTTCCCTCAGTGTAATCCGTCCGTCAAATCCCTTACCTAGGCAGGGTCGTTCTCACTGTTCAGCCCCCTCTTTCACCCCCTTCCATCCGTGCCTTCTTCACTCCTTTACCAAGCTCCCTCCGTCCTTATTCTGTATTCCTTTGAGAGCCTGCATTATAGCGGGAAGCTGCAGTGAAGTTTGGTACCGAAAGTCACTAGTTTTGTGCAACTGTGGGCAAGTCAGCTGTCTTCTCTGTGCCTTGCTGGAGTCATTTATTCATTCAAAAATATTGAGATCCTGTTTTGTGCCAAGGTACCGTTCTAAGTGAAAAACAAACAGCCCTCGCTTAAATTGTAATTGGAGAGATGAGGTAAACACGTGAATAGATACATGTCAGCTAGTGATAAATGTTAATAATAATAATAAAGCAGTGAAGGTGGGAGTTGGAGAGTGTGTGTATGGGGGACTTTTTTTATAGTGGCAAGGGAAGGTTTCTCAGAGAAGGTGACATTTTAATAGAGACCTGAGTGAAATGAAGGCACAAGGTATAAATATCTAAAGGAAGCGCATTTCAGAAGAGAATAGCAAGTACAATGGCCCTGAAGCAGAAGGAGCTTGGTTTGTCCCATGAATAGCCACCTATAAAAATTTCGTCAGTCACTTCATGGATCTTGGGAGAATGAAATGAGCACAGATGTGATAGCTCTTTAGAAGTAAAACGAATCTCTGTGCATGTGAAAGTTTCAGTAATAATTTACATTTAATTACTAGTCCGTGGAGCTCTTAATTCTCTATTTTATGTACAGTCAGCACTCAACAGGTGGCACTGAGGGAGGTGAAGGGATTAACTTAGTGTAAGAAATAACAGTATCTCAAATTTAAACATTGCATTCACTTAATATTTATCCAGTTCCTACTTCTGCAAGGTGCATTGGCGAGTGGGCACAAGGCATACAGGGTTCCTGTGTTTAAGAATGGCCAAAAAATAATGCTGACTCACATGTATTGAGCCTGGGACTCTGATAAATTCTTTACACAGACTATTTTGTTTAATTCTCATAACCTTTCATGCAATGGGAGTTATTCACTCCATTTTCCATTTGAGGAAACAGGTTTAAAGAGGTGATGTAACGTACCTGAAGCCACGTAGTTATTAAGTGACAAAATTAGGATTCACAGGTCTTCCAATTCCAGAGCCCAGGCCCTTAACCCGTGCACTGGTCTGTGTTTATTTCTTGGAAGCTGTGGAGTTGTTGCTGAGAGTAATTAGTACAGTCAACAACCACTCATAACAAATGCTGATAAAGGTGCAGAAGGTTGTAGCAGCATAGTGGAGTGAGAAATTGAGGATCCAGGGAAGCTTGAAGGAGGTGGCATTTTGAACTGTACTTTGAATAGAATTTCAGTAATCGAAGTGGAGAAAACCCACAAAATATTTATTAATTGCAAAGAGAAAACAAGTAACTTTACAATAGAAAATCCTGGCAGACACCACTGTAATCAAATGATTACGTTAACGTCACCACAAATGGGGCAAATTAAAATCATGTACCATGTGATAGGAGATGCACTAAAAAGAACACAGCATCACTTCTGTGATATTCCTGCCAGAAATGCATAACTGGAATCTAATCATGAGGAAACATCAGACAAACCCACGTTAAGGGACAGTCTGCAGATTCACTAGCCTGGAATCTTCAAAAGTGTCAAGTCATAAAATTCAAGGAAAGACTGAGGAACTGTCCCCAGAGTGAAAGAAGCTAAAGACATGACCACTAAATGCAAACTAAAGCTAAAGACATGACCACAAAATCCAGTCCTGGATTGGATCCTTTGCTGTGCAGGACATTATTGGAACAATTCGTGAAACTTGACCCGGGGGTTGGGGGACGTTCTGTGGATTAGGTGGTAGGAATGTGTCAGTATTAATTTTTCTGATTCTGATGGTTGTATTGTGATTATGTAGGAAAATGTCTTTGTTTATAGGAATCACACACTGAAGCAGTGGTTGGCAAACCTTTCCTTAGGTAAATATTTTAGGCTTTCTGGGCCATATGGGCTCAGTTGCAGCTACTCAACTCTGCTGTTATAGTGTGAAAGCAGCCGTAGACAATATAAATGAATGAGCGTGGCTGTGTTCCAATAAAGCTGTTTTTATAGATACTGAAATTTGAATTTCATACAATTGATTTTCACGTATCATGAAATATTTTGATTTTCCAATTATTTAAAAGTGTAAAAGGCATTCTAGCTTGGGGTCTTGTGACATCAGGTGGCCCCAGATTTAGCCACAGGCTATAATTTGCCAACTCCTGCTCTAAAGCATTGGGGTAATGAGGCATTGTGTCAGCAACTTATTCTCAAATAATTTAGGAAAAATAAAGTTATTTTAGCTATTTTTACATCTTTCTGGTATTAAATTATTTTAAAATTAAAAATTATTATTTAGAAAAGTGCAAGAGGAGTATGTGAACAGAGACAATGAGTAGAAGAGAGAGGAGGGGAAAGTACAGGGCTCGGGGGGCAGCAGTCAGTAGGTTGGTGTAACTGGAGAGGAGATGTGTGAAGGGATAGGGTAACTACGGCTAGAGAGATGGGGCCATATCACGGAGGCTTCGATTACCTTGCCAGAATCTAACTCCTCCTCTTGAATTTTAGCATCATGGATACTGACTTGTATGATGAGTTTGGGAATTATATTGGACCAGAGCTAGATTCTGATGAAGATGATGATGAATTGGGCAGAGAGACCAAAGATCTTGACGAGGTAAGACAAATACATTGCTTCTTTCTTGTCTCTTTTTTAAAAAAGCAATAAAGTACCGAATCCTCTGTGCCACCATAATACCTGTGTACATCTCTAACATTGCCCCTAAGGAAACTTAGCTACTGAAGCTCCAAAAGGAAATATAATTGCAGCTGCACTGGGAACTCCCTCATAAGCTCAGGTGTTTGAGAGATGAACAAAAGCGATAGAAAGAGAAGATGCAGATTCCCATGACTCCCATTCATGTGACAGGAGAGCTATGGAGGATGAAGTCCAGCATGGTCTGAGGCTTGCAAGACACCAAAGCAGGATTTTATGTTTTCGCACTTGTTCTTCAGAACAAGAAGTAGGCTCACCACTCATTGATGGAGGTGTGACATTAACAAAACAGAGGGAAACAGAGCAAAAGTCCTATGGCTGCCATCTGTCTTCTCCATCAGGGAGAATGTCCTTCAAACTAGAAAAAATAGAATAATTACTGGAAAAAGAAAATTGAAGCCATAGGTGAGGTGAAAAGAGAGCATCTTGCCGGCCGAGTGGCTCAGCTGGTTAAGAGCTCGCTCAAGGGTTTGAGTTCTGAGCAACAGCAGTTCTAGTCTGGCCTGAGCTGAGCTGCCGCTGAGCTGCCAAGAGGTGGCAGGATGGCTCAGCTTAAAAAAAAAAAAAAAGAGCATCTTGTGGCTTCAGGTGTGTTCAAGTCTCCAGGCCCACGTTCATTAGGTCCTAGGTGGCGTGGTGGGGGAGACCTTGAAGAGGTAAACTGAGAGCCACTGTGGTCATCTTTAAGAAACTGGACTGGCTGTGGTCCTAGAAAGTAAATCAGGTAACTCGTACTACTTTTTTTTTTTTTTTTCGTACTACTTTTTGAAGATGGAGATAAGGCACTGCATTTCAGAAACTACAGGCTAGTGAGTATGACGTGTGTTCTTGGTAAAAATGATGGAAGGAAATTTAAAACATGACTTTGAACACTTAGGAAGCTCTATGAGTTTTACAAAAATTTCCTCTTGATACGATTACTAGGTTGAGCTACAGGTCAGGGTTATGCTGTGTAGATATTATGTATCTTGATTTGGCATTTGAAATGTCTTATTTTTCTTATAAACTAGTTATTTTCTTTTAAAAAATATTTTAAAGAGATTTTTTTCATTATACAGTAATTCATGAATACATTCTCATTCAAACCAAATAGATGGAAAGTGTTTCTTGATGCTTATTCCATTTCACTCCCCTTCTCAAGATAACCACTGTAACTCATGTCCTTGTGAAAAGAATATGAGCTGAGTCATAATACAGGAGCGGTCACAGCCACTGAACAATAGGACCCAAAGAGTTTTGTGGTTTTTTTAAAGATTTTATTGAGGAATTGGGGGAGGGGAACAGCATTGGGGAATCGGGGAAGGGGAATAGACAAGTTGCTGTCCTTTTTGTTCTTCAGTCGAGTTGTGGAAGATGTCGCTTCACTGACCCATGTTGTTATTATCTTCCCAAGTGAGGCAGTCACTCACTGGCCATTGGATGGCCGCTCACAGCAGCTGACAGCAGCTCACACCAGCTGCTGGCCACTCTTGCTGGCTGCCAGCCACTGACGGTAGCTCTTGGCAGCCCACTGCAGCAGGGGCTGCAGCCTACGCCGTCACCAGTGACTCACAGCAGCCCAGCTCCAGGTCGAGCTGTTGTTCACCTTTTTAGCTGTAGAGGGCGCAGCATCACTGGCCCTCATGTGGGATGAACCCGGGACCTGCTGCTCAGAGCTAGCTTCCCAAGCCAACTCTTAACCAACGCGCCACTCCTCCCACCACCAAAGAGTTTTGATTAATGGGTCACCCCCAGAGCTCTTGTGACATGTCCCAAGCATCCATGCTTGGTCCCATCCTTTTTAACCTTTTTGTCAGTGACTTAGGTGAAGATAGAGAAGAAAGGTTTATAAAATTTGCATATCACATATGCTAATGTATTGGATAATGGAATCTAAATTCAGAATGATCCCAACAAACTTGAATTCCAGGCTAAATAAAGCCCAAGAATTCTTTTAAGTATTTATAGAGCACTTACTATTTGCGAGGAATCAATGCAGGGAGAGCCAACGCATTATCCCTGCTCTCCAGGAACCTACTGCTTGCCAGCGGAGATGAAATACCTACAAAAAAATTTAGACTATGAGACAGGGAAGGAATAGTGCCATTTAAGTCATATTAACTTATATCCATAGTAATGGTATGTAAGGAAGTCTTCCTGGCTGGAATGAGCAAGAAAATCTGAGGAAGTCACATTCAAAGTAGACCTGAACAATGGGTGAATCGTGTGGAATGTGAATTACATCTCAGTAAAGTTATTAATAACAACAAAAAAGCATGGTTAGGGTATGCTATGTGAATGTTTTCATCTCTGTACAGAAAACATAGTTAATCATATCTAATTCACGCTCCTATTGCTTGCGCAAGGCTGTGCTCTTATTTAATTAACCTATTAATTCCTTTTTATCTCATTCTCATACCTGTTACAATAGTAATTGATCTAGTATATGTATGCTTTTTTGTCTGTATGAGTTGCAAAATGTGTAGAGTTGAATTGTGTGCATATATTAATTTAAGTAAATGGTATCGTTATCTGCATCATTCTGTTTCTTTTTGCCACTCAACCTGTGATGAGTGGTACATTTTAGGATCCATCTGTTGCTGTGTGTATGTCTAGTCTGTGGCATCTGATGGCTGCTCAGTTCTCCCTGGTGTGCATTACTTGGTGATGGGCACCCAGGTTACCTGTCATCAGCCTTCCCTCAACACAAATAATACTGCCATGAATATTCTCACTTTTATGAACCATGTCAAAATTTTTTGGGATTATATTCCCAAAAGCAGAGTTGCCGATCTTGGGATCATATATATATTTAATGTGTCTATACTTTGTTGTTGTGTTTGTACTAAGTACTGGCAGATTACTCTTCAGTATGGTTGCACTAGTCCATACTCTATAGCAGAATAAGAGTTTCTGTAGCCTCCAAGTCCACATGGGATGCATAGATTTATTTTTTTAAAACAGTTTTTATTGAGGTATATAACAGTAGAGAGGTGCATAGAATTTTTATAATGGAGACGGGAAAGAAGGAAGGGCATTCTAGAAAGGAGTGCAGTGAGCAGGGGCCCAGAGGTTGTGTGTTAAGAGGAAATGAGTTCTGATTGCCAAAGCACAGTCGCTGGAAAACGGCTGTGGGTGTGAAGCAGAGGAGGAGGGGCCAGATTCTCAAAGGCCTTGAATGGAAAACTGGGAGTAAGGGGTCACATGATCAAAGCAAGATGCAGGGGCAGGAGGGTGGGGGTGGAGGTGGGCGGGGAGGGAGGCCTGCAGAGGTTCATCACAGTGGAAGGATGTAGAGATGTAGAGCTGGGCCACTGTTTGAATGTTAGGGGCGAAAGAATGAGGGGAACTGGATGACCAGATGAACACTGGTTATAACAGACAAAGGGAAATGATAAAAAGATGCTTGTTTAGTTTTATTTTAGACTTGTCAAGCTTGAGCTACTATTAGGACACTCGGGTAGAAATAATTATAGGTCGTTGGAAATTACTACATGAAATCCTACACTTAGATTCAAAATACATCTAGCCGTGGTGGGGGGAAGGGGACAGGAGGAACTGGCTGATAGTATTTCGGAGGCACCGCCAGCAGAATATGTATGGCTGTCAAAAGAGCTAATGTAATCTTAGGCCACATGAATAGAAGTAGAGTGTAAAGGTGATATAGGAAGGTAGCCAATCGACTCACCGCTGGAGGGCTTTGTGCTCTTTTTAAGAAAGAAGTTAACATGCTGGAATTTGTGTGAAGGAAAACAAGCTCCCACCACTCCATCTACCCACCTTTGCATCTGTGCCATATGCCTTCCCTCCTGTTCTTATGGATGATTCGTTCATGCCATCCCTCCTCACCTACTCAAGACGTTCCCCCCAGCAATGCTGCCCTCTCCCCTACATCACCAATTTTCCCTCTATTAGATTGTCCCCGTCAACATACAGACAGGCTGTGATTTCATCTTAAAATCCTCTCTCGACCCCATGTCCCCCTTCAGTTACCTCACATTTCCCGGCCTCCCTGCCTCAGAAGAATTGTTGATACTTGCTGTCTTCACATCTTTTCCCATTTTCTCTGAAACCCACTTCTGTACTTTTGCTCCAAAATGTGTTGTGCTGTCTGTCATGTGCTACCCCCGTGAGTGCACTGATAGGGCATTTCTGCAGGGCAAAACTTTGAAGTATGCTACCATTTGGACCAGCAGTTTTGCTTCAGGAATTTGTCCTACAGAAAAAAATGATGTTCACAAAGATAGGTGTACAAAAAGTTATTTATTTGCTGTTTATTGAAACAACAAATGTGGAGGCCCTGAGCCAAGAGGATTGATGTTTATAGGCTAGCAATTAGAAACCACTTCTATGTGAGGAAATAAGGGATTGATTAAATAAGTTGTGGTATGTGGTAGACCACATAGTCATCAAAAAGGATAGGGTATAAATATATGTATGGTAAATTTTTTTTTTTGCTTGTCTGTTTCCTAATTATCTGTTACAAAGTTATTTTTAACAGTTTTATTGAGATATAATTCACATACCATACAATTCACCCATTGAACATGTACATTTCACTGGCTTTTAGGATTTTCAGAGTTGTGCAGCCATCATCAAAACCAATTTTAGAATATTTTCAACATCCCAGAAAGAAATCTCATGGCCTTTAACCATTGCCCTCCAATTATCCCATCTCCCCCAGCTCTAGGCAACCACTAGTCTACTTTGTAACTCTATAGATTTCTTATAAATGGAATCGTACAATATGTAGCCTTTTGTGTATGGTTTCTTTCACTTAGCATAATGTTTCAAGATTCATTGGTATTGTAACATGTATAAGTATTTCTTTTTATTGTCAAATAATATTCCATTGTATGAATGTACCACACTTTATCCATTCATCTGCTGATTGACATTTGGGTTGTTTTCACTTTTTGACTAGTATGAACAGTGTTGCTATGAACATTTGTTTGTAAGTTTTTACAAACATAGTTTTCATTTGTCTTGGGTACCTACCCAGGAATGGAATTTCTGGATCATATGTATGTAACTCTGTGTTTAACATTTTGAGGAGCTGCCAAACTGTTTTCCAAAGTGGCTTGGCTGTTCCATTTTACATGCCCACCAGCAGTTTATGAGGGTTCCAATTTCTACACTTCCTCATCATCTTATTTCTGTCAGAAAAGTATTTTTCAAAAACAGTTCTGTGAATCTAAGTGGAAAATTTAAAGGTATGAGACTTGTTCATAGTTTCTACCCCTGGTTCCTGATTTCTGTCCTTGGAAGAAGTTATTTTTTTCCCCTTAAAGGGGTGGTTGTTGCTAGGCAATTGGTTTCGCCCATCTCAATCCACTTGTGACCAGTGGCCCACGTTTAGTAAGGGGCTAGTTTGATGAGAGCCATCTATAGCCATGGCTTATAGCCAGTCAGTCTTCTCTCTGTGAAGGATCACGCAAGCATAGAACCTGCCTGGTGACTCTTTAGCACAGAACTCAAAACCAGGAGCTGTCATGCATGTGAAACGATTGCTCTTACCTCATATAATGTGATCAGTCATTGAGCAGGAAAAGTGCGTGCCTCTTACAACTCCTTCCCTCTTTTTCTTTTAGATGGATGACGATGACGACGACGATGACGTAGGCGATCATGATGAAGATCACCCTGGGATGGAGGTGGTGCTGCATGAGGACAAGAAGTACTACCCCACAGCTGAAGAGGTGTATGGTCCTGAGGTGGAGACCATAGTTCAGGAGGAAGATACCCAGCCTCTCACAGGTAAGTCGGGAGGCACTGGCTTGAGAGGTGAAATTGAAACGAGAACACTTCCATTTCATAGCCATCAGCAATCTTGAAAGTTCAGCGAATGAATTGATTAGTTTTTCTTTACTACTGTCAGATACTATTTCTGGATTGAGATTCAGTTGACCCTGTTGTAATATTCAGTAAAGCTTGTAGCTTGTTACTAAGCAAATAAGAGTTCTTTCTTTCTTTATCTGATATCTGTTTAGGTGCTCGAAGACTGTTTTTAAGTCTTCCCTCTGGTCTGATATGTTTTCCATCCAAATAATCCCAACTCTTTAACCAGTCTTCACAATGCTTATTTTCGAAGTAGTTGCATTTTATAAGTGCAAGGAGAGATTGTGAACTGACATTGACCACAACCTGTTATCCAGTTCCTCCCCCTACCTCCTGCAAAATGAAATCCAAACACCTCAGCCCACAATTCAAGATCCTTCGCTTTCTTGTGTAAAACAGCGTTCCCAGAACTTGCTCAACATGAGTGATCCTTGAGAACAACATAAATTGATGTCATGTGTCATACCTTCTGAAAGCTCAGTCTAATGGAAGAAATAAAAAAGCTCTGTATTTTTATGTTTTCTGCCTACCTGCATTTCATACCTTTTTTCCCTCCTAGAACCCATTATTAAGCCAGTGAAAACCAAGAAATTCACTCTGATGGAGCAGACGCTACCTGTCACGGTTTATGAAATGGAGTAAGTTATAAGATCTTTCAGCCTCTCTGTATGAGTAGTGTGGGTGCATTTCTTCATGGAGGTGGTTTGTGGCTGAAGTAGCCAGTGAATTGCAAAAGCCAAACCTCTCTACAGTTTGCCAAAATTCTCCTTCAGTTTATGTGATTGCTGGGATATTCAGATTCAGTCTTAACTTCTCTCTTGGCTCTCATGTAGATCTCAGCTGTTTTCTTCCAAACCTTTAGTTTGCTATTGAAAGCCAGCCTTTGAGACAGAGTATTAGGTATTGTAATTGTCCATGTTGGGCACGGGAGCCTATTTTGAATCAGTAAAATTGCTAAGTGTTCTGGGAACATAACTATTTTGAAAAGAAGGGCTTAAGTTGGTAGATAATAAATAGAATAATTTAGACTCTTCATACAGCAAATTGTTTTTGAAAATGTTTTCATTGATGAAATGCACTCATATATCAAAGGTCTTATGACTCCTTATTGGATAATGAAATTATTGGGGTTTTTTTAACCAGGTTGTCATGTTGTATGTCCAAAAGAGTGGGGTCCCTTCTGAAATGGTCAGCTCATCTTCCACCATTCACACATTTGTGAAACAAATTTTCAGTTATCTTCAGAACTTGCTTCATATTTCTTTGTGTTCTCAAAATGGTGATTTTTAAAAAAAATCTCCAGTCTTTGAAAGCAGACTTGATTTTTTTTAGAACGAAATGTTTATTTATGTACTATATCTAGAAGCAGATACATAAATTCTTATACAATTTCCAAAAATGTGCAAGAAATTACTATAATTTGTTTACAAACCAAAGCACATCTTAAAATCAATGGACTTTGGATACTTCATTCTGTGGTGTTTCAGTACAGATGGTACACACCTGATTGGAAACATACAGAAGACTTGATTTTTGTGAAGAGCCAAAGTCATCTGAAGGCTACTGACCATAAGTAATATGGATGATAAGAAAGAAAGACAGTGCTGATTTTGGTCAAGATGGAAGTCCTCTGCTCAGCCTTGTTAATTAATGAGATGGTGTTTTCTTGTTTAACTAGCTCTGGTGGCAGTTTCAAAAGAGAAGCTCCCAAAGTGATTTTAAGTCCCCCTAGCACCAATGAAATAAAAAGGTAGCATCTAGCCTGAAGATTTTGAAAGGGACAGTACTTTACACAAGTTCTGGTATTTGATTTTGTTTTTCTTCTTCCTTGCTTTTTAAATCTCATTTTACTATTGAAATCCTCATGACATGTCACAGGTTGTGTCACCTCAGGGATAAGTCTATTTGACTCCCAAAGCCAGAACTGTGTAGATGTAGAAATTCACATCTGCCTCTGAGCCGTCTCCTGATCTAAAAGTTGTTC